GGGGAAACAATAAAATATCTATAACTTTGTTGTTTTTTGTCTGATTTGGATGAGATGTTTAGGGATGGTAGACTCTGCAGAGAAGATGAAGCCTGCCAAATTTCAAGGAGATCAGTGCAGGGGTTTGGGGGTAACGGCACCCCAAATTCTTGAAAGCAAAACACATGTCACATCTGGGCGTTACAACATAGTGGGGTGAGAACTGCAGGGCTGGTAGCACTTACTGAGGCCACAAAGCCTGCCAAGTTTCAAGAAGATCAGTGCAGGGGTTGGGGGGAACTGCCCCTCAAGCTGCGGACAAGCAAAACTGGTGCTGTGGGACCGACTGTCTGTCTGGGGGCGGGGAGGGGAGACACTGCTACAGACCTGGCTGCTAAGCTGCTGTGTTCCCAGTTACCAATCAATCACTCATGATTCACTCAGGGACCAGGGACTCGGGGACCAGCTCAATACACAGGACCTAGCTACTACATAACGACTTAACCAGCATCAATTAGCACCTACAACACCAGGCTAAGGAGAGGAAAGAATCAATACAGACAATCAACTGCCCCAGGACAGACACAGTCTTGGCACGAGTTTTGTCTGTCAGCTGCTAGGGGTGCAGGGCCCCAGGACCCCCCTGCACCGATCTCCTCCACCGATGGGCGGCCATCCCTGCAGCTGTCAGCCCGCTGCGCCTTAACACACATAGCGTCACCCACGGCACGAGTTTTGCTTGTCCGCAGCTTGTGGGGCATTTCCCCCCAAGACCCCAGCACGGCTCTGTATACAGAGGTTCCCAACCACCAGGTTGTGAAGGGTTGGCTGCTGGGCCACCAGCAGTCATGTGTGGGGTTAAAGTGGGGCACGGGGACAGGGAGGGAGGCAGCTGGCTCCGTTTGCCCTGTCCCATTCCTGCCACCAACCAGACGCTGCCCACACAGCAGGTGCTGGGGCCCGTGCCAGGCCGGGCAAGCTGCCCCCAGCCCTGCCCACAGCTGGGAGGAGGGGGATATGAGTGGGAAAATGCCCAGGGCAGGAAGGCAGCTCTGCTGCTTGCTCCTAGGGAAGGCAGCAGAGCCCCTTCTTCCCAGGCAGCCCTGGCTGGGTCCCCCCAGGTACTGCCTGCGCAGCCCCACCCCCTGCAGGGTTCCCCAATGCCCATGGCTGTGGTGCCCCAACCTGATCCAATCCTCACAATCCCCACTCCCTCCACCCCACGTGTAAAAATTTAATTTTAAATACGTAAATTTAATTTAAACATGTTTGCTGCTCCGCAGTATAAAAAAGGTTGAGAACCACTGGTCTAGACCAGAGTCCTTTGGATGGTCTGAGTATATCTTAGGGGTAGGATGGCCATCATAGAGGACATTCCAGTTTGCTGCTACTCTGTCCTCTATTGATACAAAACCTTTATGTCCTCTATTTTTCTCTTCAAGAGAAAATCCTCAAACTTGGTAGACTCAAGACACCCTTTGTTAGATTCAAGGCAACCTGTGGAAATTTTTTCTTCAAGAGAAAAATAGAGGACATAAAGGCATCCGGTTTTGTAACAATAAAGGACAGAGGACAACCGGACTGTCTTCTGTGATGGCCACCCTTCTTAGTGGGGAGGGGACTTAACTCTACCAGGAAGAGGAATTCTTTGGCTGGTACAAGCTTCATCTCCACGTGGCAGCTGGCTAAGTTAGCAGTACCTCAAAGCCTTTGCAGGGCAGGTTAGCTCTGTGGGCACCTTTTTAGAGTTCAGTTGTTCAGGCATCCAGCTACTGGCAAGTTTTCTAAAAAGGGCTCATCACCCAAGTGGCTGAGCTCCTCTGAAAGTTTGGCCTTTCCCTTGGGAGTCAAACACTTTTGAAGGTCTGCTCTTTACTGATCTCACAAGGTCTCAGTTACCCAGTTGACAATAGGGATCACCTTTCCCTGACGCAATCCTATGTCTGTTTTACCTGCTTGCCGCGTCCACTGGAGAGGCCCAGAAGTATATCTAGCAACTATTTTTGTATGGTATCTAGTGCTGGTAATCTCGGTGCAAGATGTATATGTAGATCAGACCTAGCCTGTCCCTTATGGTGTGTTAATGTTGCATCCGGCCTCCCTTATCTGTGTCCAAACACCACTCTGCATTGTTTGCCTGGAATAGAAGGGCCCTTCCTGGCCCTGTCACAGGGATCCACCTCCACCAAGAACAATAGGCACTCAGGAAGCATTTTTATACAATTAAGAAGAACAGTCTCCTCTCTGCTTTACCTCTT